GACATACACCGGTATTGTGGTATTTTAAAAATTCATATCATAACAAAAATAAACACCGGTATTCAGTATGAACCGGTATACCGCCCAGCACTACAATTTCCTTGAGCCACTTACACTTGAAAATAATCATTCCGCCCCATAGTTTTCTGCCATTTTTTCTGCCACTACTGGTTCAACGGCATTGCAAAATGGGGGCAGTCGTGGCCTAATGGTTAGAGAGTCGGACTTGTAACCCAAAGGTTGTGGGTTCGAGTCTCAGGTCCGGCAGGAATTGTCGGTGGGGGGAGTGAATAACCAGCACTCTCTTCCACCTGTGTGTTCACGGTGTGTGTGTTCAGTACTGTGTGTGTGTGCGCACTATCTATTCGGTGCACTACACTTAACCTTAATATAGGCAAATTGATTAGTAGAGTTGATTATTCTAATCAATGCTGTTTTCTGTTCTCTTCACAGCTTGCTGGGTTCATCTATGCCTGTTATGTTGTGAAGCTCATTTCAGAAGAGGAGGACAGCTGTGAGTATACTTCATAATTCAGTTATGAGTGTGTTATTGCTCATTTTTTAATGAATGTTTGGCTTACACTCAAATAAATAATGCATGCTTAAAAGATATGTATGAAATCTAAAATGATATGAGATCTAAAATTACATTTATCATATCAGATCTAAATATATTATTTATATTTATACTACGTGGCTGTTGAATGCTTGAATCTGAATGTTCTAAGGTGTGCAATTATTTTCAGGGAAACGCACGGCTAATATAATTTTTCTTTTTTTCATTGTCGTTTGAAAGAAGCAACTAATAAGACAACATTTAGACATGTTTTTAGTTTACAACCTAAAGATGTAAAGATGCATGATGTTTTTATTATTATATTTTTTATATGCTTTAACATGGGGAATATTTGTTTCCTGCGGTAATGAAGCACTGACATAGACATAGCTCTTGGCGGCAGATCTTTAGCCTAGTTTGAATGCCCCTGTAAACATTTGAATTTAGATGTTGCAGGATCTAAGAGATTGCTTTTATTGATCCCAAACGACCAGCCTGTGGCCTAGTGTTTTAAAGCAAGGAGAAAATTGTTCCATTTGTAGTGCTCAGACGATCAAACTTACCACCACTGCCATGCTGAGACACATGGGTCATTTGCTCACTATCATGTATGCAGACCTGTTTGCCTTACTTTCCTCTGTTGAACACACATAGGAAAACACAAAGCTATAATATGCAGCACTTTTATGATACTTTTTATGGTGATTTTTTTGGTGTTTCACTTTCATAATATTGAAAACTGTGGGCACTACATAGTTCAACATTTCCTCATTTGTGTTCTACAGAAGAAAGAAAATCACGTGGATCATGACACACTATTCGTTTAATGTGTTTTGCCCTCAGATGCTTGTAACTTTTTCTTAGGAGAGTCTTTTGAGGAATAGCTGCAATAACGATGGATATGCAGCCTAACACTGGCATTCAAGATCAATACTGTTGTTCTCTTGCAGACTCAAGCCTTATTTTCCCTGTTCTCATCATTCTCTCATCACCAAGCAACTAAAACTGACTGACAGTGAGAGAGATACATGTAAAAGTGTGTGTTTGTGTGGCTGTTTATTAGTTAGGCATCCCCCTTCTTTGTCCTGTATTTTCATTGCATTTTATCAGTTCATCATCAGAGTAATCAGAATCATTAAACTTCACTCTGAATGTAATTAAGCATGGCCGTATTTGGAGGGCCAGCCTCTCATTAAACGGAGTGCCTTCACTACATGTTAAGATCACGAAGAGGGAGCCCTGTGGCAGAATACATCCAGTGTAGCATGATGGTCTATTAATGCAGAATATTTGTGTTTATATGGGTTTTTATGCATGAGTTCACTGGGATGTTGGTCCAAGCTAGAGCATGATAATTTATTATTATTATTTCTTACTATTATCAATGTTGAAAACACTTAATGTTTTGTAAAAAGTGTGATACTTTTTTTAAAGATTTTTAGATGAATAGGAAGTTCAAAAGAACAGCATTTTTTTTTAAATAGCAATATTTTGTAACATTAAATTAAATTATACATTACTTGAGCTAAGCTTTGAGCTAAGCTTTGCACCACAAACTACTGCTGCCGCCACACTGATCGGTTAACTTCCTCAAACATCATTCAGCGGCGTTCCCGTTGTCGAATGGGGATTTTGATTGTCTCAATCAGTGATCAGGAGAGATTCTCGGACATTTGTGTAATTGGAAATCCCTCTCGAAAGTCTCTCCCAGTCAGTCCATGGGCAGCCTAAGTTTGAGTGACTGCCAGAGCACTCGTGAATGGTACACGACTGCACCGTGACATTAGCATCCGTTGAGAGAATATCAGTGCCGTTGATGTTCCAAGGGTGGGCAGAGGAAAATTCCACTGAGAAATATAATTGTTGAAGCTCTGAATCCTCCAAGCAGGTGAACGATATTGATGGCTTGATCCCTGAGGCATGTAGAAACACTAACCGGGATGCCATATTGGCCATTACGGCTTTAATTAATATAGTACAAGAAGCACAGGGTCCATATAAAGACAGGACAGTATTTAAATGATTCTGCCTCTGAGAGCATGGAAAAGCAAGAGAGAGAATTAGGAAGTGTTGGTGCGCGCAAGTTGCAGGGAAACACTTTTCGCATCTATAACAAGGAAATTAGGTTAAGGCTTTCCTTTGGGGATATGCAATCAGGCTTTGTGGTTGCAGGGAGGTGGGAGCTCATGCTGATAGTCTTTGTACGCCGCGTGCGGTTTACAAATGCCTTTGTCGGAGGAAAAGCTTTTGGAAGGGTGAAGCCAAAACTGTAAAACTCATAAAGCCTTGCTATATGGAAGCTGTAAGGAGAAAACGTCCATCTCAGCCTAATTCCTTGCAGCGCCGGTGCCAGTGAAATGCCTCCTTTCTGGGATGTGTCTCTTAAAACAGAATAAATAGCTATTTGAGTCGTTTTGTTGAGGTCGAGGGACGGTTGTTGTATGGGTTTGAATGCTAATGCTGTAGCTCAAGGCAATGCACAGACCCTCAATCTGTCCGCTTGCCCACAGTCAATGGTGCTTGTATGTTTTTTTTTGTTGTTGTTTTTTTTACTTCATTACTGGATCAGTGATCCCAGCATTTCCCATTATCTTGGCAGGACTAGCCAGGAAGAATTTCTGCAGTAAAACAACTTGAGATATTTGTTTCATTGGAAAGGGGAAATGTTTTCAGAGCTGTTTAAGAGCACAATGGTATCTGCCCAGAAGCAATCTATTTTAACATTTACCCCCTGCAGACATATTTATGTAAAGAACATTAAGATGGGAATGTTTGGCGCAACTTAATTTAATTTTTGATATGATCAGTGTTTTCCATTTTAAATGTTGTTTTGTTTTGTGTGTGTGTGTGTGTGTGTGTGTGTGTGTGTGTGTGTGTGTGTGTTTCTACACGCTTAAAAGTTTTGGGTCAGTAGAATTTAAAATTAATTGCCTACTTTTATTCAGCAAGGATGCATTAAATTGATCAAAAGTGACAGTAAAGATGTTTTAGATCTATTAATCAAAGAACAATTTAATGAACAAACAATGGTAATAAGAAAAAATTGAGCATCAAATCAACAAATTAGAATGATTTCTGAAGGATCATGTGACACTGAAAACTGGAGTAATAATGCTGAAAATTCGGCCTTGCCATCACAGGAATAAATTACATTTTAAAATATATTAAAATAGAATACTGTTAAATTGCAATAATATTTCGCAATATTACTCTATTTTTATAAAATAAATGCAGCCTTGTTGAGCATGAGAAATTTATTTCATAAAAATCTTACCGATCCCAAACTTTTGAACATGTAGTCTATATTCATTTTTTCAGTTGAAAAGTTGGTTTTAGTCCTTAAAAGTTTTAAGACACATACCAATTATTAATGTGATGAATTATAAGTGAAGAGTTAAAGCATTTGGGTCTGAACATACAATTTAATAAAGCCTACGTTGAAAATATATATTTTTTTTCTCTCAGAAATTGCTAGTAAATTTCACGGTTACAAATAAATGGCAAGTAACACATTGGATTAAATGTGAAAATTTGAAGAGAAAGACTGAATTAATATTTTTTGTAAAACATACTTCAATATTTTTTGTTTTATTTACAATTTTCGAAAACTTTTTTTTAATTGTAATTTTGAATTTTTTAATTTTTTTAGTATTTAATGTGAATGATGGTTCTAATGGCCTGTTTAAAACCAGTCTGAACATTTCGCTCAAAAACTTCAACAATCCATATAACATATGAGTTGATGTGTCACATTATTATTATTTCTTTTGTTGTCTTTATCATTTTGTCAGTTGAATTGTTAAAATATTTTAGGACTGTCAATCAAATTATAGCCTGGAACCAATATATTGTTGATGAATTACATGATATGATGTCATAAATCAATATATGTTGAGAGTGGAAATTCAAACAGTGTCCTGCTAAATGTGAGCACTCTGGTTTAAACTGCTGGCACAAGCTTTCAGACTGACCTCTGCGGGTCCCCAGATAACACTGATCAGGACAAAGGTCTAACTCCACAGTGAGGCCAACATAGATTAGGGGATTTGTAGGTATATGCCCCCTGAAAATCTATCATCAGAATGATAATGGTTCCAGTTTTCCGTTCTCCTTCTGTTTGGGATGCACGAGAGAAGGTCTCTGCTAATTCCACAGCTTATCTCCTGTGTTCGCTGATCTAGGAAACAGCCTCTGATTGCCAAAGCCTGGATCTTTATCGCACAGTTTATTACCTTTGCGTCTTTGTGGAAAGCCCAGATACTCTGGGCTTCCAGGGCCTGAAACAGCTGGTGGGCCCTCACAGAGGGGTCCGGGGCTAATCCTGTCAGTTTGCTTTATGTTAGCCTATCATATAATCCAACAGGCAGCGTGCCACAAAAAGGCCTTCATAGATATCACTCTCTCAGAGGGTCCGGCCGCTGATCATCCACTACTCATGATTAGCACACTGACCCACCCATGCATGGGATACATAATCAAAAAGTGCTTATTTGAATGAACGACAACCTTAAAAAGAGTTTAGTACAATAAATTATCTATTTTTGTCCCCCATCTTCCTCTTTCTCTCCCTTTCTCATTTCTTTAGTTGACTTTATAGGAGGGTTTGATTCGTACGGTTACCAAGGGCCACAGAAGACGTCACATTTGCAACTACAACCAATGTACATGTAAGTATAACAAACATGAATGGTTTTAAATCAGACCAACACTAATTCATAATGCGCAACATTGTCTTAGATAGTTTTAGCAGTGTTTTATTATATATTGGCGCCTCAGGGTAAATTTCCCTGGTGCACTGTATTTTATTCAAGCTGTTTTATTTCCTCAGCTCTCTACAATTGCTCTTCTTAGTAAGCTGTGTCTAACATGTTTATACATTTATCAAATGATTTTGATTATGTATTTATTTGTCAGATAAATGTATCGACTTTTATTTTTATGTACATTTATTAATGAAATTATGACTTTTAATTTATAACATAATTATCAGAATATTTATATTTATTTATTATAATTATTATAATTTATCTGTGTAAGATAATTGTATTAACTTTTATTTTTTTATTTAAATCTATCAATGAAATTATGATTTTGAATTTATAACAATTATCAGAATATGTATATGTAATTATTATATTTATTTATTTGTAATAGTAATTATTTATGTATCAGATACATTTAATAACTTGTATTATATTTTATTAATTTTATTTATTTAAATGTATTAATAAAATGATGACTTTAAATAACATATAATTATCAGAATATTTATATATTTATATAATTTTAGAAAATTTATGTATTTATTTATTTACTTAGTATGTCAAATACAATTTTATTTCATGTTATAGAAAGCTGATGATAAAATGATATTGATTTTATTACATTTTCATATTAGAAAATTATTTTTCCAATGTATAAATTATAATTTTATTTCTTATGTAATTGAACAAAAGTCATTTATTTAAATTCTAAAAATGTACAGATTAGAAAATAGCAGCAAAATGTAAGTTATTTAATAGCGACACAACTAATTGTTAACTAAATTCATTATCAGCTATTTTCCATATAGATTTGGTGCTGCAGCTGTAGTCACTAGACTCGTGTGCTCTCTTATAGTGAGTCAGTGTGTTTGTATCACAACACTCTCTGTTGGACATAGTGGACATACATCGGAGTGGATTTATGAGAGCTGGTTCGTGACAGACCTGGAGCAAAACAAAAGAGTATCTCTAGCGGAACATCTCTAAGAAATAATATCATTGTCAGTCTGGCTGGGATAATAGCTTAGGTCAATATTTGGCGAGGTAATCTGTTTGCTTAGTCTATGTTGGCTGCTTAAATGTTTATGAGGAAGTAGTTGAATGCACAGAGGTGGGACTGGGTGATCACTGGGAGATTTAAGAGGATTTGGCTTATTGACACTGATCTATTGGTGATTGCGTTCTATAGAGTCAGCCTTTATGTCCGCAATGCACTCCATTATGCCAGGAGGTGCGACAGCAATGCTATCAAAGCTTAGGCCCATGACCTATATGAAGACAGCTCTTTGATGGAAGACCAAACTACAATAAAGGCAGGGTTTGGGGCGTCACTGAATATTGAATATTGAACACTAATATTCTAGCCTGCTGCCCATTCACAAAAATGACCCTTAAAGACAGTGACTGCCCTTAATGTGGATAGACAGCTATAGGTAAGCCACTCATAGGTTGATTTGCCTAAAAGTGTGCATGCAGGCAATATCAAAACATTAAAACAGTCAGCATAGCAACAATGGTGCAGTGACTGCAGTGCAGTGAGTTTGTGGCGTGACTATCTGTTTGTCCAACCAATGGAAGATGAGGGAGTTTATATATATATATGTGTGTGTGTGTGTGTGTGTGTGTGTTTATATACATGTATATTTATACATAGACATTATACATGCATACATACAGTATATGCATATGCATATAAAAATAAAAATAAACAACTTCAACTGTACTTTACCCTATGACATCATCCAAAGTCATTTTTGGCCTGTGGGTGAGATCAGCCCAACTGATGTGAAAACATATGGCGGGGGTCCAAATGTGCCTGTCACCAGTCTTGACACACATGTGACACCAACGGCAAAATAGCAGCCGGAAAATTCCCCGCCATTCTCCAGGGAAGGAAGGACACAGCTGAGCTGCCCAGCGCCACAGTCCAGACACAGGAAAAAAAGCTGACTGGAATGCTGCCACTGAAATGGGATCAGAAAGGATACCCCATATGGATTCAAATAGCAAGGGACTGTGTTGATTTACCAATAATACAGACGTAGTTTGTCCCTGAAGAATTCCCATTAAGAAATCCCTTGTTAAAGTTTGTATAATTCTGAAAAATCAGTGTTACATGTTGTTTATAGCTACACACTACCATTTAGTTTAGTAGCAGTAAGATGTTTTTAATGTTGATGTTGATTTATTTGATCAAAAATACAGTAAAAACAGTAATATTGTGAAATATTATTACGATTTAAAATACATTTTGTATTTTGAAATTTGTATTTATTCCTTTTTTTTATTCCTGTGATGGCAAAGCTGGAATTTCAGCAGTCATTACTCCAGTCTTCAGTGTCACATGATCCATCAGAAATCATTCTATGCTGATTTGCTGCTCAGAAAACATTTCTTATTATTATCAATGTTGAAAGCTATATTGCTGCTTATATATTTTTTGTGGAAACTGTATATTTATACACATTTCCATTCTCTGCCACTCTCTCCATTCTCTGTGCACTCAGCAGAAAGGTGCAATTACATGGGCTTTAGATCAGTGACAAGTAACAATGCTTTATGCAACTCCATCCTCGTCTTCTAGGAACAGATGCTGTAAAATTGGGATTAATGAGGATTACACAGAATCCAGAGAAAGACTACAGAGAAAATGAATTATTCTCTTAAAGAGCCGCACTCCGTCTGTACCCACGGCTGCTCCCCTGGTCTTATTCAGAGAAAGTGTCTTGTTGAAGTTGCACTGAATATTCACTGTCAGCCAGTGTTTTGTATTTATTACATGGCCGGCTGACTAAATCATTCTGTCACGTCATGAATCTCTTGCCTTTGTAAATGTCAGACTCTCACTTTTCCATAATGCATTGGAGTGCTTTGAATGGCAGGTCCATTCATAAGCAGATGGCATATTTTTATATTTCAGGGAGGAGGTTTTTCTCCACATGCTTCTGTGTGCATGTTGTTTAGTGCATTTTGAGATTGAGTGTGGAGAAAAATAGAATAATGAAAAGTTGAAAAGGTCACAGCTAATAATTAGTTAGAAGGGCAAGGTGATATGAGAAAACTTAAATGAAATTAATAGATGTCACTCAGAAGCCCTTTAACATAATGCAAAAAACCCACACATAGGCGTACAGCGGCCTAAAAAGTATTTGGAGATTTAAACGTACAGATCACACTTTCACGTCATCTGCAATTAAATTTAATGCTAGAGGTTTTCTCAGAATTAGCAAGTCTTAATTATCTAGTGTTTTATCATTTAAAACCAACTTTGTTTTGAATCGTCGTTTTAGAAATGTTTTACTTTAGTGAGATTTTCAAATAAACATTTGTATGTTTGTACTTAAAGGTATAGTTCACCAAAAATGAACATTTACTCACTCTCAGGCCATCTAAGATGTAGATGAGTTTGTTTCTTCATCAGAACAGATTTTGGAGAAATTCAGCATTACATCACTTGCTCTCCAGTGGATCCTCTGCAGTGAATGGGTGCCGTCAGAATGAGAGTTCAAACAGCTGATAAAAACATCACAGTAATCCACACGAATTCAGTCCATCAGTTAACATCTTGTGAAGCAAAAAGCTTCACACAAAACATGCAGCTTTTCGCTTCACAAGATGTTAATTGATGGACTGTCATGTGGATCATTTATGTCTAAATCTGGTTGGTCTAGTTGAGTCCTACACCTCATGCCACTCAAAATAAATGCATGATGATCACTTGCTGTCATATTCAGTTTGCAAATGATCTTGGTTTATTTTTTTTAAATCACATATTACAATGGGTGTCAGTTTGCACAAACTGGTGCCACTGGTGTCTCTCAAAAGACAAGGTTGCATGACACCTCTGCGTGTGCTGTCTTTTCTTAATAGGAATGCCATTTGGTTTGATATTTTGTTAGTTAATGCAGTGACATTGATACATTTTTTATGTTAAGTGCTTTGTTTCACCCAGCTGAGCTTAATCAAGCAGGCAGTCAGTCAGTCAGTCTTAAAAGCATGCACTGTGATTTATTATTTGTTTATACTGTCTCGAGATCAGTCTTTAACACTTGTTTTCTTCTCTCACAGGTCAAAGTAAAAGGATAACTGCCTTATCAGCCAATCAAAACGATGAACTGATGTTTGAACTTGTCTTTCTACGTAAATGTCTTAACATGATAGTGTCTTACGGACTGTCGGAGGAACACAGAACCGATACTTTAACCTCAAAGACTCCAAGTGGATTTTCTTTGTCTACGCCCAGCCCTTCCTCCTCCAGAGCGCTGCCGTCAGGCACGAGAGAGCCCTCGTGTGGAGAAACCCCTCAGCAGACTCTCATCATTGCGGCCATTAGCAGTGCAAAACGGAGGAGCGGATTGAGTCAATGATCTACAATAAGAAAGACTTGGAATCGTGCAATGGACCGAGTGGATATAGTGTCAGTGTCTCCAACTGACTTTCACGGAAACCATCCATACTTAAAGAATGTTCATTAAATAGTCAGTATGATATTAGTTATCTAGTCCTACAATCTTTCAAATGGTGACTTGAGTGGAGAGTCATTATTCCAGTTGTGTTTACAAAGGTTGATTCCAAGCATTGGAATGACCGTCGGTGTTTAATTGCAACCCAAGTAGTTTTTCTTCTTTCTCCTGGATGTACTTGTCTTGAAAGTGCCAAGAACAGTTACGAAAAAGAAAAAAAAAACAAATAAAGAAATCAGTAGCTGCTAAGAGATTCATATTTTTTGGAGTTAAACGAAAGTCCAAAAAAAACTACGATTTTATCCGTTCGACGTCACCATGGGATCAACCGTATTTGTTTGCATGAGGTGTCCAAATCTGTTGCGTATTTAATATCTTTCAGCTAGACATAGGACGACCTTGGAACGGGTAACAGTCGCTCCAAAAGGTTACTTGTGAATATTGTTGTTTTTTAAGACAGTGTTGAGTCTTGTTAACAAGATAACGGATAGAAAACCAATTGTAACTTCTTTCTATTTTAAGCCTTTTTTTAACGTGTGCCAGTGTTCACTCTTTTCTAGTAGACTAATAATTTATTATGCCGTGTAAGTGGGCCTTTCTTGTCGATATTCCTGTACATACTGAGGGGGGTAGGGATAGAGATGCAGTATTTCTAGTGATGAGGTGTGAGGAAGAGTCGAATCGGGTTAGAACGCTTTGTTTTGTGTAGTAACAGGAGCCCAAGAATAACGAGTCTCTAAATGATTTCTTAGCGCAATTGTTCCCCAACATTTAAGCGCGAGGTTAGAATTGCGCAAAATGCTGAAGCTATTCAGGTGTTTCCCCTTGATTTAGCTGTGCTGTATGGCTTCTTTTGTAACTTGCCTCGTGAATGAATATCAACAAAGAGTTTCTTTGAATGCTGCACTTTCAATTGCCTAAAATACTGTGCATATTGTAGCCCTTGGATGATGCGTGAAAACGAGAAATGTCTTCATTTTGGTCAAACTACCATGCCAAAACGCAGCTCAATAACACATTTTCCCCTTCCTCAACAGATAATGGATGATGAAATATGTGTTTCTCCACTGTATATTATCTTTTCCCTTAAACTGATTCTAGTAACTGTGTGGAGTTGACATATATATGCGGTTTGGCGTCGAATTTTCGGAGAGAAAGTGCCTAAAATGACATCCTGTTAACATTCCAATAAATGGCAATCTGCTCTCACCCAGAACGGCTGTACATAAACAGAGGGTCTGACTGAGCTGTGTTTAATCAAACCCCTTGTGAACTGCACTGGTAAAGCTAAGTGGCTTGATAATTAATAAAGATGTTTTAGCCGCACCACTCTCCAGACCTCACTGGCAAATAATTCCCTGCAGTCCATTGCTGAAATCGCTCTGCATCCGACTCAGTATGGAGCGATAGATGTTTGTATGGGTAATGCAATTAATAAGAATGATGACACTAGGAAAGGAAAGCTGTATGGGTATGTCTCAAATAACATTCTTTTTGCTTTATGAAAAAAAAACTTTTTTTTATTAATAAGGGGAATTATTTATTATATAGTTTATTTTACATTATATTAGAATACTTTAATGCACAAAAGTCACAATCTCATTGCTGTAATGCAAAAACAATATCAAAAGTAGATTATTACAGTAATGAGAGTCTAATGAGAATGACCATTAAGAATATTGGGAATTAAAAAAATAAATAAATAAAAATTGGTAATGAGAAATAAGCAGCAGGAAATGTTATATCAGTAATGTTACAAAATATCTTAAATGTCTTATAATTAATCATAAAATAAGCTTAAAAATGATTAAATATAAATTTCTTAAAAGTCTTAAACATCTTTATGACCATTTTTTAAAGGATTAATTTGATTGATTTTACTTTTTTATTATTTTTGGGTGGAGTTTGGGGTAGATTCCAAATGAGTGAGACTTACATCAGTCTAACTGCTATACTTTCAAGACATTTGTAAAAACATCCTGATTCAACATGGTGCTTGATTAGACTTTATCATATTTAATAAACAGGGCAAAGTTAAAGCAAAAATAAATCATTAAATAAATAAATAAAAATAAATTCAATTAAAAAAAACATGTTTTGGCTTACATTAAATTTACCCTGCATTAATACATGTGAAACAAGACTTGACAGTGTTAAATGTCAAATTTGATAAAATCATAATTATGAGCTGAAAGAAGCCTGAATGAAAATGAATACCATTCAAGTTCAGGAAATCTTGCATGATGCTTCTACCCAGGAATGTATCTGATGTCACCATGACAATGCTCTAACCAAATCTGTAAATATAAAATATGGATTTAGAAATTAGTTTCAATTCTTGTGAAGTGTACAACATGGTCCGAACGAAATAACAAATATATATTTGACAATACTGTAAGAGTAGCTTAACCGTCCTCGTTAATATAAATGGTCAACTGTGATATTCTAAAACAAATGACACTCATGGTAGATGCTTTAAGCAGCTTTCCAGGTTGTTTTTATTGGGTTCAGTGCTGAGTTTTGAACAGATAGGCCTTTTCTATTTCTGTTACTTTTAAAGAATGACTGTAAATAAATCCAGACTGTGTCAATGACTCTTTATTTTGCTTCTCTTCTCTGTTACTTCACTTCTTTGCTTTATTATGCCATTTCTAAGTATAGTAACATGTCATATAGCACATAGCGACTGTGCCTAGCAACAGACTGTAGCTTTGACATTGTCACTGATGACTGTCTTCCACTTAAAAAGAAACCGCTGTCAATCATACGCCGCAAGCCCTGAATTTCCCTCACAGCAGTAGTGATGTGCTCCAGCATCACATGTTCCAGTTGCACACTGCCTTTTGTTCTTTCGTAAATGCTGAAAGTGTTTGTTTTACAGTCATGTGCTGTGCAACTCCCCAGTGAGAAACAAATGATTAAAGATCACATGCACACACACACACCTAATCAGTCATGCAGCTACCTGAGCACTCTTATTTTAGTATCAGTGAGATACTATTGGTTTTGTACTACATATATTCTGAATTATATACGTTTTTGTCCATTTTTTTTTTTTTTGCCTTTTATGTTTGTTTGTTTTTTTAATTTCTATGTATTTTATACATTTTTATTTCAGTTTTAGTTTTATTAATTTTAGTCCATTAAGTTAAACTTAAAGAGAGAGGTGTTATTAGCTGAAATATTTATTTATTTATTTAAGTCTATCAAGTTAAACATAATGAAAAAGAGAAATGTAGCTTTAGCAACTACCTGAAATATTTTATTTTTTATGCATTTATTTTTTCAGTTTTATTTATTTATTTTTTCCCCTTTAGTTTTAGTTTTAGTCCATCAAGTTAAAGTAAATAATACAAAATGAGAAATGTAGCTTTGGCAGCTTGCTGAAATATTTTATTTTATTTGATCTTATATTTCAGTTTTTGTTTTATTTATTGTAGTCCACGAAGTTAAACTAAAGCATCGAGTTAAGACGGTGAATCCTTTCTTGGAACAGAAAAGGGGGGAAAATGGCCTCATGGAACACTTTGTTCTCACTTCAGGAGATACCCAGTGGGGAAATCTAAAGGAGTAAGAGTTAAGGAGGGGGAAAAATCAATTGAAACTACTGAGATACTGTATGTGCACTGTGCTTTGAGCTGCATGTGGAGCTCATATCATAAACTGCAAAGTCCCACAACGTTTAGAGCTATTGATGATGTGCGGAAAACCCACTGTGCAAAACGGAGATCAATTTTGCTTCAATATTACAGAGTTCCACATTCCATTCTGTACAAAGACTGTAGGGTGTTTTAAAGAGCACAGAGGGGTTGTGCTGTGGAAAGAGGTGATAGGCTATATAGGGATGAAAGAACATTTTGCTACAGAACGCTGCTGACACTGAAGCTGTTCTCTGCACTTTTTGATGGCACAAGCATTCCCTCCCATTACCTTATCGTTTCAGCCCTGTCCATCAAACACTGAGTCTGGGCTCTGTGCCACAGTCCCCACAAGTAGTTGAATCATTATGATGCATAATATTTTATCTACAGTATTAATGGGAACACTGTAGAAAATGTAATGACTTGCCACAGGACTGAATCATCTAATTGCTGACTTCTCAGTGCAAAGTTTCTTAAGTGTTCAGGAGCAAACCCTTTTTTGATTTGATTATTCAGGCTGCACGATATAACGTTTGGCCCTCTAGCGGTTCTTTTATTTGTGCTTCGGCTCTGCTCCTCTGCGCGGATGAAAGTGGTTCGATGGGTTCGATGGGTCGCGGAAGCTCATCTTTACTTTTGAGGTCTGGTACAAATATGACATGGGCTAGAAAAATACATATGAGTCTTATATAGCCTATGTATGCACGTTTAATCATTAAAAGATCGCGATCTTATTCCTAAATGACGGTGATTCTGCTATGTCTATTAAACCTTTGAAATCACAATCACATCGGAATATTTAAACCTGCTTTTTACATATTTTTACACTTTGACATATTTTTTTCCCAGTTTATTGTTGTATTAATTATTATAATAACTATTAATTGGGAGTAGCACTGTGATGATTCATGATAGCTATGGACTTTAATCTTTCCTAAAATTAGGCAGCTTGTTAAGAAGAAGTGTGCTATTGTTTTTATTAATGATCTGATGCAGCTGCAGCATTTTAGCCTGCCAGATGATAATATGAGCACACAAAAAAAGAGAGAGAAAAACACATTTTGATGTAGGGTCCTAAGCCACTAGCAACAACCAAGAACACTCCAGCAACTAAAAAGCATCATACTAAAAAAATTAAAAAAAATTCTTAGCAACTACATAGCAACACCCTGGCAACCACCCAGAAACTCTTGACATTGAACTGATGAGTTTTCAGAGGCAAAATCTTCTTTAATCTTTGCATCCAACCTTTATCCATTTAGGCACTGAAAATGCCAGGAAATGTGGATATAGATGTCTCAAGGCAGCTCAGGGACTCTGCTTCTACAACTCAAACGAGCCTCCATGTAGCGCAGGATTTGGTTGCTTTGCATGTGTGAGGCATGCTTGAATGCGTTCTGTGACATTGTGACCCCTCATTGATTCATCGCAGATAATAACAGATGGTCACTCCTTAGAATTTTTAAAATTAGCCCCCTAACAGATGGATGTTTAAGCATGACTAATATCCGTGATTTTGATTTATTAATTAATGACGGGTTTGTGTCACGCTTTTATAAATTGCCACACAACAGTGACTATTTGTCAAACAAGCTCAGTTTAAAAAGCCATCTTGGGAAGCAGTGCACTTTCTGTTATTTCAAGGAAAGAATAGCCATTTTGTGTTTAGACGTGCTTGCATAATATGAAACAAAAAGATGCACCAGACGCCACCCGATCTAAATATTCCCTCACATTTGTAGAAACATATATTGTACAGCTGCTTTGCAACGATTTGTATCGTAAAAGGCTCTATACAAATAAACATTATTGAATTGAATCGAATTGAATTGAATGCACTGCTTACTAATAAATAACAAGTGAAATTATTAACATGCTACATAACTTATGCTACACGTATTGCATTATTAACATCTTTAGCAATGGCAACTATTTTTAATTTCCTTTTTGCTTGTAGATAAAGTGTAAAGCTTTCATTTCTGACCTTGCAAGGCTTAAAGATGCTGTGAATGTGCAAATATCATCAGGGACCCTGGGGCCTCTTTATCCTAAAGGAGATCAACAAGGTGGGGCAGAATGTTGATTCAGCATGTACAACGTGCCCAAGTGACCTATTACTGGGTTAATTTACCTTTTACTCTTCCAAAGAAACATCACACTCAGCATTTGCTTATGTCATTACTTTTTCTAACGTTCTTAGCCTGTGAAGCACCGAAGATGAACCAATCTAAAGCTTGCAAATTGAGATTCGTTTACAATTTACGCTCTACCTCCCTCTAGTGTCTAGACACATTAAATTAATATGGATAAGATTGACAGGGTGGGAAAGGGTAGGATTACCAAAGATATTCGATCTGATTGGATTCTAAGAATGTTTTTTAAAAATTGTTAATGTGACTTTTCAGTCATGTTCAGTTACATTTATAACAAATATATTTTATTTGTTTAAATAAAAAAGGCCAATAAAAATATAATTATATAGAGTGTGTGTGTGTATATGTATATATGTATATATATATATATATATATATACACACACACACACACACACACACACACACACAACATGCTTTACAAAATCGAATAGTTGTAACGCTACTACAATTTGTATTGTTGGGGCTATTATAATTAGATGCGCATTTAATAGGTTATAAACAGTGCTTGTTTTCAACTATAGAGCCTAAACGAACATAACGCCCGATTCTGAATTTATTAAGCCTACGATTGCCATTGGAAGACAACGACAAAACGTCAAAGGCGCCTAATGTATATTCATGAGATAGCCGTGTGCCGTTGGAACGTTATCACGCAACGTCAACGTGGCCTAATTAATATTCATGAGCAGAGGCTTCGCCGTAGTAGGATTCGTGATTTCGGACCCGGAAGTGGTGTAATAGTTACTCGCTCTGTGTTTAGTTTTTGAGTTTGAAAGCGGACTGTGTGTGTTTTCGCACAAATGGAAAGTTGACCGCTCGGGAATGGAAGATGAGTCTTCCATGCGTATGAATGTCACCGCTCAAAATATGCCCGGTTATATTGGACGCGACGGGGAATCTGTCCATGTATCCAGCGGGACACGGAGCACTGATTTCGGCCGGGATGTCCGCAGCAGCGACGCGAAGGTGCCATCATCATTATCGTTATCCTCGAAGGATGTTTTGGAATTTCATAAACACAAACATGAGCCAGGAGGCAATAATAAAGAAAATGACGAGAGGGAAAACATAAGAGCCGTGGATATTTTAAAAAGGAATTTGGGTTCCACTATCAGAGATCCAGAAGATGCCACAGACCTAGAGAAAGTAGAATTTGACATCAAATTGAACGACTTGGATCATGAAAAGGATGATGAAAGGATGCAATGTAACACAAAAAGTCTCCAACAAAACATGGAGAGTAACTCAGGATTGGGAGATCCTGATGGGAATCATCATATTGATTATATTGATTTGAAGAGTGGTGAAGATCCCAGCCAATCAAAAGAGCATGTTTACTGCACTGTATACTGTATTGCCAATGATAATTATAGGATACCTGTTGAGAAAACAACATCTGATCATGAAACTACATCATTGTCATCAGCAGCAGCAGATGTGCTGGTTTTACCTCCCACCGACTTGCCAAATTCAGAATTGGACTATGAGCACTATCCAGAGCCCTATACAGTCTCCGACTTGATGCTGTCTGGAATAAACGGCTCGTATAATGCTGACAACAGTTTATCTGTTGTGTTAACATGTCGAATTTGTCTTGATGACAAACAAGCCATACCACTACACTGCTGCAAAAATGCAGTTTGTGAAGAATGTCTGAAAAGATACATCATCTCACAGGTATCCACATCCATACTATCTCAATGCAAGTTTTTCCTTTCTTTTCAGCACTGAATAAAATCTTATTTGCAGGGATGTTCCTTTGTATGTGTCTGCAACCACTTTTAAAGTGGACTGATGCAAACCTAATATGCCTCTACATGCCAGCAATGGGAATCACATCCTACTGAAGCTGTGAAACAGCTGTCATCTTCATGTGCTTTTCTGTCTTTATACCCTGGTATAGTGATGGTAATATTGTGATACTGAATGATCACCATGTTTATGGTCTTTACAAGGTACTCCAAGGTGTTTCAACAAGCCTGTTTTGTTGGAGGATCACCTGTCAGTCAGTCTGATATTTGCTTTTCTTAATTAATTGTCTTCTAATTAAAACATGTTTATGTAGAAGTTCTCCATTGTGTTTGTGAAAATGTTCTCGGCCTGTCCTGTCCTGCTTTGGAGAAGTGATGCGTTTTGTGTTGTTTAGACTGGCCCGTGTGGTCATCATAGATTTGAAATGTTTTAGTCATTTTCATACTCCCTTTGCCGCAGAGCAGAGGCCCTTATTGTGTAACACAATACAGTCATGTCTGTGTGATATAAAAGAGCATGACGATTTTTGAGTTCCTCAGAAAGATACATGACACACCAGCAAGTGTTTAAACAGTCTTGCCAGGGCTTAGGTTAAACTGAAAAAAAAAATGGAATTATAATAATGGAATGGAGGCACAATCAACTAGTCATCTGGCCATTTTTATTTTGATACTTTTAGTAGTGCCTTAATTTGCATGCATAGACATTTTGCATGGTGTGACTAGAATTGCGACAGTTGTATCTGAAGATTGCAGACATTGAAATGGTGGCCTAGGAAATGAATCTGACCGTGTCACTTGAACCCCAAGTTGAAAATTCTGCAATCATTTCAAATGAAATGAAAATTCTGCAATCATTTACTCAACCTAATTTGATTTTAAACCTGTATGACTTTCTTTCTTTTATGCAACACAAAAGAAACATTGGAACCCTATATACTTTGAAACAGTTTCACTCAGAATTTGCTTGTATATTTCACAATTTCAAAGAAATGACAATTAACACATTGAATTAAATGTGAAATTTTGAAGTGAGAAAGACTGAAATTGTATGTTCTTGTAAAACATACTCCAATAATGTTTAAAACTTTGTTGATTTTCAGAATTGACTTTCATTGTATGGACATAAAAAAAGAAGAAAAAACCTTAATACAACATGAGGGTGGCTAAATGATGACAGAATTTTCATTTTTCTTTCAACTTCTTTAAGACCTTCATGTAACCCTAAACTAAAAATATATAGTTTTTCACATCCCTAGTTTGGATGAAATACTGAAATATCAGGTTCTTAGAAAGAGGAAATTTTCTACCCAGTGGCAGTGAGTCATGTTGCTGGCAAGGGGAGGAAGAACTTGTGCTGTAATTGATTGCTTAATCACTGAGCTCAGCCTCTCAGTGCCTTAATTACATTACATGACTGTTGGCTGGAAGGTCTGTGCGCGGTTTGCAGGCAACATAGAAACAATTTGCCCTCCTGGCGGGATCTTGGTCATAATCAAGTAACGTTGGCTTGCCTGTTGTTGCTGCTCTTCTCTCAAATCAGATTTATTACCCCCATGAATGATCTTGGGGGTCAGGCAGAGGTTGATGTGATGATGATAAGCTGTCTTTTGTAGCTGAATGTATTAGTCTGGTTTTGTCTTATTCATGCCCAACAACCCTCTACATTGCGAGTAAATCACTCGCATATGCGACTTAGGCCCAATCCCAATTCTACCCCTTAGCCCTTCCAACTAATAAAATTACTAGCCAATGGCGATTCAATTGCCAAGGTGTCCGTAGAGGGTTGCCCAAGCAGTAACCTGCATTTGGTGAGCTCACTTGGCCTGTTTAGCTGCAAGCCTAGACCTTTTTTCTCGACTGTGATCTGGAGTGCACAACTATGACGATGATGCTGCCAAAAAGAATTTTGTTTATATAGCCGCTTACAGATAGATCGCGACTTCTCCCATTGTTGCAGCGTGTGTTTTGCTATTCATGGACGTACTGTAAAAAGCTGATTACCTGTAAAACCTGTCTGTTTGAATCGTATCCAGTGACACAGCTGTGTACAGCATCATAACAAGGTGGTGTAATGCATAAGCACTTAGTTTCTGGTTCCGGTTACTTGAAAACATGAAAACGTCCCGCTTTATGTGAGCATTAGGATAAAAAAAAAAAATTAAGTGAAGTGCAATCTATGACTAGATTTATGTTTTTACTTTGGCAGTTCTGTGATCATTTTCTCACCCTCATTGTCTTGTTGTAAACCCCATTGGCTTCAATTTTATGGACATTTGCAACTTTTTTCAAAATATCATCTTTCATTTTCGGGTGAACTATTCCTTTAACGTCTGCATTTATGAGTTAAGTTTTCCCTTTTGTTGTATGATTCGAATCATCATTTGTGCACTTTTCTACTTTTTAAAGGTGACATTCAACAACCCTGCTTTCATTGCAGTCATTTTTAGGCCTGTGCGGTGCATGATTTCAAAAGCAATTTAGATAATATGAATACATGAGATCAAATGAATGCTATGAATATGGTTTGTAAGCAGATGAAAGGAAAGGGCGATCAGTTAATGTGCACTCACTTTACTGAAGAGAAATGGCAAGAGGTTTGCACTACAAAAGACTCATTTAAATAGCTAATATTTAACTTCACCGAGCCACTGTTTCTCATTTCAGGCCTTTGTGTTGGGTTTGGCAAATGGGGCGGCTGGTCTAAATGTCAGGTGCCTATGGCAAGGGCGTTTGGTTCATTCTTAGGAGTAATATTTCAGAATCTGGCTTGTACTGGGTTCATTAGTGGTTTACTTATTACGTTTAAAGGGACTTGGATAGTCGTAATATACAGCATGTCACTATAATGCCATCTCAGGATTAACAAATATAAATATGGTGACCGCAGTCTCATAATCTGACAATTTTTTTAATGCTTTTGAAATGAATGTTGTGTATTAAGTGTTGTGTGCCGTTCAAAATTGAAATCAGAATGGAATCAAAACAGGACACAGAACTGTAATCTTTAATATATAATTTATTAATAAAAACACATTCATGTTGTGGGTATGATAATATAGACAAGTTTATGGACAAGTATACACTCCAAAAACTGCTGGGTTAAAAACAACCCAATTTGGGTTATTTTGGCAACCCAGCGCTGGGTCAGAAAGGGACGAACCCAGCGCTGGGTTGTTTTAACCCAACAAGTTGGGTTATAATGTTTGACCCAGCATGCTGGGTTGCTTTTTTATGGTTTAAAATTACTACACTGCTAGGCTAAAATGAACCCAAATCGAGCTAGACATTAAACCTACAAATCTTGTTCATTTTAAAATCACTTTTACACACACAGAATGACTATCAAAAGGTAAATATTTATTTAAAACAAGAGAAATCAGTCAAAAGTAACATGCATGTAAGAAGAAATGCAGAAAAGTATGGCATTAACAGCTACAGAGTATAAATGAAGCATTGAACATTTGTTGAATATAACTTTTAAGATCAAATTTGACATTTTTGGTAAATTGTATATATTGTATACAAATATTATACAAAAACACTATTATACAATAGTTGTACAATTAGTTAATAGTTAAGTTCTTTACAAACTATTCTGGCATGACAGTATATTCATATATAAATATTGGCATGGATTACTTCTACAATAACTCTGTATTTTTGAAGCATGAAAATACTGATTATCTAGACTTTCAATGGATTAACAAAAATATATAAGAGAAAATTAAAATTATCTTCATTTGTGTTCTAAAGATAGACAAAAATCTTATAGGTTTGGAATGCCATGAGGGCAAGTAAATGATTGTTTTGTGTGAACTATTCCTGAAAGGAAGACCAAGAATGATGACTCTCCAAATCAGACAACTTCAAAGTTGGTTTGAGTTCTGCAATGAAAAGCACAAACATCAATGGTTTACATAAAATATGAACACGTAATCATACTGTTGTTGCATCAAAATGTGAGGTAAACAGGCAGGAGACAACAGAAACATTTATTTTCTAAAAATAACTCGCATCAATCTCAAAAGAATGATGCTCTCCTATGTCTCTGGCTTTCAACATCTACAAAAACAAACATTATTTTACTCTTAGTAAAAAAAAAAAAATTTAATAACATGATGGAATTCTGAAGTTTACGTGCCTTAAACTGTCTTTCCCTCTCTTCTGAAGAAGCTGAGAAAATCGCCTCCTCACACAAGCAGGGTTCTGTGTCGTTAACTCCCGGCGCGGGCACAATGAAG